AACTACTATCAGAGTTAGTTCCCCTTTGAACAGTTTACTTAATTTACAGGAACAACTATAATAGTTAGTTCCCCTTTGAACAGTTTCCTTAATGTATATAAACTTCTATCAGAGTAAGTTCTTTGAACAGTTTCCTTAATGTACATGAACTTCTATCAGAGTAAGTTCCCCTTTGCACAGTTTATTTAATGCATATGAACTACTATTAGAGTTAGTTCTCCTTTGAACAGTTTCCTTAATGTACAGGTATAACTATCAGAGTTTATAGTTCCCCTTTGAACAGTTTCCTTAATGTATATGAACTAATATCAGAGTTAGTTCCCCTTGGAACAGTTTCCTTAATATACATGAACTACTATCAGAGTTAGTTCTCCTTTTAACAGTTACTTTGACATTTAAAATGACAGAAACAGTATAAAACTTTAATAAAATAAAGGCTTTAATAAATCTATAATCATCAATACTTATGTTTTTTTCTGTATTTCTGTTAGAACTATTGCTACACCCATTTCTTATTCTCTTGACAAAATCATTTTGAATTTTTATTCCATTAAGGTAGATGGGGTGTCTAAATTATAATCCATAGATTTTTTTAATAGTTTGCCAAAATGTAGTTTATATCATGCTTTTTAAAAAAAAATAATAAAAAGAATGGGTCACGGGGCTTATTTTCACGCTACACGGTGTTCAAAATTGACAGATTTTGTATAGATTATGCATGGAAAACCCAATTTTCTGCAATAAAGCGAAAACTACACCATAGAATTTTGAGATAACATATGAGAAGATAGCTTTAATAGTATGCTTTCAGTTAAGAAAAAGAAAAAATGGGGTCACCGGACCCGTTTTCTTGCTACTTAGTAAAATAGGTAAATTCCTAACACATTCTATTGTAAAAGTACCCTTATCTTAATTATCTGCCCTTGCATTTCAGTTGCCTCCCCTTATGTGGCAAAGTTGAAAAAAATTTAATCAAACAAAAGTTTTCTGTTTTTTGTAAAATACAACCATAAATATGATAAAACATGTCATTTTCTATATTGAAGTGAAAGTTCTTACACATGAATTTCCTACTACTCTCAAAATTTGCACATTCTATTAAAGATCTAGACCTTGTTTTCTGGTATTTCCAAATCCAAGATGGAGGAAGACACCCTATCTACCTTAAGTGAGAATACATAGTATACTGTAGCTACCAAACTTTGTTATGGATTTTGAAGTTTAAAACCATTCTTACTTTGAAAAACTCTATTCAAGCAGAAGTTTTTTCATAGACTTTCATTTTTTATAAAATTCAGTACCATTTCCAGAATTAAACTATCTTAACATGTAAATAAATTTTTCACCTAATATTGTCCACTTTTTGTCTACTTAGTATTCGATTGAGACAGTATGTAAATTCTTTATTAATATACCAGAAATAAACTTTAACACCTGGGAAAGTGAATCATGCTGATGATATATGAAGATGCCCCTGTTTCTTATCTAACTTATAATAAAAATAGAAACATTTTTATAAATATGTAATATCTGTAGGTAATTAATCTCTTCACATGCTTCCAAAGTGCATCATATCAAATTCTCATAATGATATGATGCAGAAACCTGATTAAAGGGGATTCTATCTTAATCTAATATTCCATATAATTTTTCTTACATTTTCCTAAAAGGTTAAATATACATCTATATATAAAATTTGATAAAAAAAAAATATAGGTCACAGAACTTGTTTTTGAGAAATATGGGGTTAAAAATATAATATAGTTTGCAGAAGTGTAAAATCCTTCTTTGCCAGTTTACTTAGCTGTAGAAATTAATGTATTTTATTCCTTTCAATAACAAAAAGAGGGGGACCAATTCTCATTCTCTTCCTAGTTTTTTAAAAATAATGTAAAATTTGACCAATTCAGTACTATCCAGTTTAATTATTCTGCTTGAGTTGAAAAATTGTTCAAACAGTATCTCCCCAGGCTAAATCTATCTACATGTAATTCATGAATGAATCAATAACTGGAATAATTTTTTAAAAATATGTATATCTTTAAGTGGAAAATTTATTTTAAACAAATGAATTTCGAAGACAATTACAACTAATTTGTGGCTTTATCGTAATATTTGCAAATCTTTAATAAAATATATAATACAGATTTATAAAACAAGCAACAAAATAAAGATTACAGCCACTAGAAATGTTCAGTTCCTTAAACTCGTTTTTAAATTTGAAATGTTAAAAGTATTGCAAAAATGTGCCTTACATTTTGTCACCTACTCTACCAATCAGTGTGAAACTGTGTTGACCCTAACAGTCTACCCCCCAAAAAAACAGAACAAAACACTGCTGTTATTCTATATGGTTAAACTGTAATGGCAAGTTGGGGCCTGGTACGAAAATTACAACCAAGTCTGCTTTTTTATAAACTACCACCATATACTGAAGTGAGGTCAAATACATAATTATCAAAGCCAGCCTTGGCTACTTTTAAACTTTTTGGAGCCAGGGCAAAATATATAGGCCATGGACCACTTGGTGCAGCTACTTCAATCCATGTTGTCCCGAGTCAAAAACATTTTTATTGCTGGTCTTTGGTTTTTTTTTCCATACAGCAATATTATTGCATAATCACATATTTTGCAATCCCATTTTTTCCATAAAAGTTTAATACACATACAAATTAATAATCATGGCCAGATACTGCACAATATATCATGCACAATTTACTTCTTTGTATGGACACATATACAGAGTTTGTCCTACTAAGGGATTGTTTCCTTTTGCAAAAAAATTTAAAATTGGAGACAAAGTCAATAATTGGAAAATTGACAATAGGTAGTTTGCTAAATTTATGATGGATTTTTGTCTATTATTGAAGACAATATATTTAACTCTATCTGATGGCCTTGTCCTTTCTTTGATCAGTTATGCTAGTGGCTTGGTGTCTTAACAATGCATACCTACATTTCTAATTTTTTTAGACATCTGCACAGAGCTAGTGGATAATGTTGCATATAAAAATAAGGAGATGAGGTATGATTGCCAATGAGACAACTATCCACCAAATTTCAAATAAAGTGGATGTAAGCAATTATAGGCAACCTTTTGGCCTTCAACAATGAGAAAACCCATACTGTATAGTCGGTAATAAAAGGCCCTGACATGAAAAATGTGAAACAATTTAACTGAGAAAACTAACGGCCTAATTTATAACAAAACAACTAACGAATAAGGTGCTTTGCCGAGCGCAGCTGGATATGACCGCAGACGTCCAACCCTGAACAGTTGGGGCAAAAATGGACACAATATTCAAGCTTGATACAGGTCTGAATTTGGATTGTAATTTTAAATATTTGACACATTATAGGTTTCTGACACAGAATAAATGTAGTCAAAGAACTTGAAATTGGTTATATGATTTGAATTTATATTCAATTGAAGATTTCTTGATGATGTGTAATACACTATATGCTGTTGCGCAATACTTAATAAATCTGTTTTCAGACTATATACAAAGAATTAGCAAAATTTATTGTGACCCCCAATTTTTTTTTTACCCCCTCCCCTTCCGAAAAAAAAAAAAACATTTGAAGAAATTTTCTTTTTGTAAAATGTGGTCGTATAAATACAAATATGACAGACATGACCCAACCACAACCACTGAACTACAGGCTCCTCCTAACTTGGGACAGGCACATAAAGAATGTGGCGGGGTTACATGTCTGTGATCGCTCAACCCTCCCCCTAACCTTGGACAGTGGCGTAACAGCATGACATACGCAGTCTACCTAAAAAACCCACACACAAAAAGAGTCCCAAACATTAGCACATATGACCCAGGATGATATCAAACATTTAACCTTTACTCAACCAACGTTTAAACATGTAATAAAAGGAAAAGAGTGTTTTCAGGTACATTTGATAATAATATCTGAACATGGTGGGAAATAACCATAAATTAATCAAAATGCTTGTGAACATTGAGGGTTAAAAATTATTTACAATTTGCATTGTTAACTTTAATAATTAAACTATGCAAAGAAATGGTATTGTGAATTGAGTTATTTCCCTTTGTCCTTAAAAATTGTAGATATAATGTTATGTAGAACTGTTAGAGATCCATACACTATGACAACTCTCTGAAACCTGTGAAATTTAAAATTAAAACTTTTTCATGATAGTAACAACATATATCATTTCGTCAATTGAATATCTGAGTATATATCATTGTTGACATGGGCATGGATAGGATCTAAAGAATGCTTAACTTGCTGCATTATTTTGTGTTTACCCACAAAACAAAAATAGAGAAGAGGTTGAAATATATATAGATAGTCAGCAAATGTTGATTGGGATTGATTGCAGAAAGTGCCATCTTTACCATTCTAAAACAGTATAGAATTACTGGTAAAGTCTACATAAAACCAGCACCATCTGTTGGCTTACAATAGACATTCTAATAACAACTACAATACAATCCATTTAACAAATATCTGTAGGAAAACTTAACACAGCAACTTATTAAACTAGACTTCAAAAATAGGTCGCCTTAATAAACTTTTATAAACCGTCTCCAAAAAGAAGTTAGATACAATGATATTTACATCAGCATTATTTGTACATGCTCATATCTAAAATTAAAGTGGGTTTTTTTAAAGATTATTATACAAGGGCAGGACGGCTGATTGACAAATCCAACACTTTTATTTTTAAAGTTAATAAAGGTATATTTCTTGAAAAACTAAATACACCAGATCATCCCACCCATATTTCAAGCTAGCTGTATTAAATAAAATCTGATATTTTATAAAATTTCTGGCAGATAAAGTTCTCTAGGAAAAAAATGCAAAATGCTTTGGGTGATTTTTGAAAATGTATAATATATTGATCCTTATTCTACAAAATGTGTAGTAAATCATACAAAAAAGTTAATTTCTATATACCTCATCACAGAAAATATGACAATATATTTTTTTCCCAGTGGGTAATATAATTAACATGTACTTACAATTTTAGCAAAGAAGTTCTTGTCTGTGAAATTTTCAAAGCTTTGTTGACACCAGACATTAGTACTGAAACTGGATGCCACATTGCATTTAATCCCAGTGAACTGACTAGCCTCGACCTCCATAACATAGATACCAATATTCTGTGAGGCCAGAGCTTGAGGTCTGGTGGTAACCTGGTTTGGGATAGATTCCACAACATGTACCAATCTGTAAATAGAACTTTTACAGTATTGGTTCTTTTCTTTATTTTTTCTGCATGTTTGGTTCAAATAAAAAGTTTCTATGTGTTGTAAATAAATAAGAAATGATTGTTCTATACAGCAATCTGTATCAGTCTGCTGCCAAGGATGTATGATTGTGTATTTCACAAACTGATTTTTATATCAAACATTAAAATTGACTAATTGTGTACATTTCATCTGTAAATTTGGGTTTGTCAACATAACCATAACATTTGTAGATCGTGTAGTTAATAAATGTGTTTATAAATCTATGGTTCTCATTCACATATCATGGTCCATATGTATGGAGGTGCTCTGGATGTAGGAGAATCATATTCATAATGTATAACTAATGTTACAACATGTGAGCATCACTTCATTTCAGTTAATGTTTTTACAGTTAATGATGTTACTTTTCAATATAATAGTTTTATTCAATATAAAAAAAATTCTTTTTTATCATATCATCAATAGTTTATTGCATCAATCTGATTTTCTTTTCAGTGCTTAAAAAAATTCATCCAAAGACACAGGATTTTCATTCATAAAAGTTCGTCAAAAGAGTGAAATTTGTGAACCGCCAGTACTGAAAAGAGTTATCTGTTATTCCTTCACCCCCCTTATTTATCTGTCTTTAATTTGTGATACAATTCATGTCATAATCATTGAAAATAACATCCCTTCTTATCAACTGTAAATATAAAACATATCACTATGGTTCATGTAAAGCTTAAGTTATTTCCCTTTATATGCAGTTAAGTCATCTAGAGTTACTTCCCTTTACTTGATTTGTTGGCAATGAATTTTATTTTACTTTTGGTGCAAGTTTTCTTTAACTTTGCATACAAGGATAAGACAATATACAAAGGACAGAATTTCTAAACACATCATGCATGTTTAAACATAGAAGGACTGAATTAGTTTAATGCTTTGAATACTTTAAATTTCCAAAAGTGCGAAGGATAAAAAGGGGTGTGTTATACATGACTGATAGCATTCCAAACATCAGATTTTGGGCATGAAGAGTTGCTGCAATAATATTTCATTTAATAGGTATGAATCCACAGTAGGGCAAAAAAATATTTTGAGGGTCATTTGGGAAAAATTTTCAACATCTTCAATTTGAATTTAGATATATATAATTGATTGTACAAACCTTGAACAAGCTTGATCATTGATCTGTCCATGTTTCAATACTGTTTTACTACTATTCATCATGCCACTCACAATCTTCAGAACTCTTTCTGCTATCTGTAAACACAGTCATGTACAAGATTATAAAGAAACAAACTCAGTCCAATTTCCTCCTATAATTACATTTTTGACATTGTGTTCACAGGATTTTCAGTTTACATTTGATTCTTTACATATATATTTGTTTTTGTGCTTTTATTTCCCACCAGCTCAATGAAACTTCTATATTCTTGTAATTTCTGTCCCAATAACATCGTAATTTAAAATATCAGAAAATAAACTGCTTTGCCGAGCGCAGCTGGATATGACCGCAGAAGTCCAACCCTGAAAAGTTGGGGCAAAGATGGACACAATATTCAAGCTTGATACAGGTCTGAATTTGGACTGTAATTAAATATTTGACACATTATAGGTTTCTTACACAGAATAAATGTAGTCAAAGAACTTGAAATTGGTTATATGATATAACATGTATAAATTTATACTCAATTGAAGATTTCTTGTTGTTGTGCAATACACTGTGCTGTTGCGCAATACTTAGTAAATCAGTTTTAGACTATGTACAAAGAATTAGCAAAATAAATTGTGACCCCCAATTTTTCTTTGGAAAATTGACAATTTCTTAAATCTTGAGGGAAAAAAAATTGCACACAGGTTATAAAAAACACAAAATATGAAGTCAATCTGTTCCATAGTTTCTGAGAAAAGTGTGACAAAAATATTTGTTGGAAAAATGGATTGAAACAAAAGGTCATTACAATATAGTATCTATTTTTAAAGTGGGAGTATAAACATACATGTCAACTGAGAGATGAAATGCCAATTCTGGGTAGTGGGATATAATGTCAACAACCAGAAATATGGAGTATATTCCAATAAAACAGCTACCAAGCAAAATAATGGCACTTGTCAATACAGTGTTTTGGGGGAATGTTTTATGGAGGGGATCTGCAGTGTTTAAATAGGATTTAGGCTAGAGGTTTTTGTGGTGTACTATTTTCTATTCTTCATTAAGCTACTGTGAGCTGTGGGTCTTTAATGTTTGATTGGACATTTGTCTATCCTTTTAGTGACATTATTCTTTGTTGTACCATCAAAAGCTTCCGTATAATTTGTTATCTTATTGCTCTTTTTCATGCACGGCTATTCTCAGGTAAAAATGTTTGTACATAATAAAACTTTAACTAACTTCATTACCCATCATACATTATCACTTCGTACTTTTTTCTTTTAAATAAAGACAATTTATTGCATAAAAAACCATAATATTATACCCAGTCAATAAATTTATTTTACACTTATCCCTTGAACAAACTTTCACAGTTAATAATTTACAGATTTTATTTTCAGTTTAGATCTTCTTTTGACATATAATGATGAAAATATTGACAAAGTTAAACCCATACACTAATAAACATAAGCCTCTTTTGAGGTAAATAATAGATTTATAATATTTATTGATCAGATAATATCCCTTTGATGTTTTAAATAAATTGAAGTGTTACAAATTTTCATAGTAGATTAACAGTTTGCTATTGGTAAAAATAGAGTCCCTTGCTTTCTCCATATGAATTTGTTTTTTCTCATTGATTTTTGATGAAATGCTGCTGAACTGGGTTAATAGACCACAAGTTTTAAATCTATGTGGACCCCCAAAGATGCAATGATACAGTTATCTTTTTGGTGGATTTAAATACCATTTTACAAAATGAAACTAGATCAAGAAAATTTTAACAGGTAAAGAGTTTGAACAGTTCTATTGATTTTTGAATGGTTAAATCAAATATTTTTTATAAAATTGGTCAGACTCAAATGGGTTGCATATACTTCTGCTTTGTAAATTTACAGACCATATCAATAAAGGAAAATATGCAAAAGTTATCAAATGTGTGCATAAGTAAGATATACATCTTAAATAGAAAGTGTGTAGGCTCTGAGTAAATAGATACCTACCTTTAAGAATGATAATATTGACTATTTCAGAAAAATCTTCATAAATTCCCCATATGTGTATATATATCAAGCTTTATGTAGGTGAACATCTTCAATGTTTAACCAAACATTTATTTTTTTGTTAGGTTTGTTTGTGGGCACATTCTATACGGCTTTAACTCCAACACATTCTGTGCCTGTAAGAAGTCATGGTATCTATACCATGTGTTGTTCGTTATTGTTTCTTTGAGCACCTTTTTTCTTGTTATTGGTGTGGTCTCTTGTTTTGTCTATTTTGTTAGTTCCTGTTATTTTTTTTTCAGAGTTGTTTTAGAAAGTTTGATGGTTATCCTCTCTTTTTAATGCCCAACATTCACCATTTTCTATAAGCTAGATTTGTACTTTTAAGTAATTACATGATAAATAAATGGGGAATGTGTCCATGGGACACAGATGATGCCCCCGCTTGCATATAATGTTATAAAGGGACATAACTCAAAACCTGTAACAGTAATACTACCCAAATTTGTACTTGATATGACTTTTGTGGTAATAAGCATTGTGTATAAGTTTCATAACATTTGGTTGAGGCAAACTAAAGTTAGAGAACGGAAACAAAAAATTCAGCTATTTTTCCATTTGTAAAGGGGCATAACTCTAGAACGATAAAAGTGATGCCACCAAAATTCAAACTTGATCTGTATTTTGTGGTAATAAGCAATGTGTATAAGTTTCATAACATTTGGTTGAGGCTAACTTAACTTAGAGAACGGAAACGAAAATTTCAGCAATTTTTCCATTTGTAAAGGGGCATAACTCTAGAACGGTTAAAGTGGCGCCACCAAAATTCAAATGTGATCTGTGTTTTATGGTAATAAGTATTGTGTATAAGTTTCATAACATTTGGTTGAGGCTAATATAACTTAAGTAAGAGAACGGAAACGAAAAATTCAGCATTTTTTCCTTTTGTAAAGGGGCATAACTCTAGCAAGGTGAAAGTGACGCCACCCAAATTCAAACTTGATCTGTGTTTTGTGGTAATAAGCATGTTGTATAAGTTTCATAACATTTGGTTGAGGCAAACTAAAGTTAGAGAACGGAAACCAACTTCGGGACGTACGGATGGTCATGGGTAAAACTTAATGCCGGCAGCATAAAAATAGTTTTCCATTTACTTTGAATGACATCTTAACTGTGATAAAAAGGTCTGAATACCTAAGAATTGATTAATGCAAAGCCATTTTTTTGGAACTTTATAAGGAACAGCAACACAAAAGCACAGTTTGAACAAAAATAGACAACTACATGTAGGTCAGCTTATGGCTTTCGGTCAAACACATACCAACAACATGGTTTAAATCGTAACAAGTCACTTGAGAATGAATTCCAATAGCAATATACGTGTGAAGAAAAAGTAATCAAAGCGCGAAAGCGCTGTAAAGGCAGTTAATTACAGGATGTGTGTATTTTTAGTCCAGTTATATCATTATCTTGCATAGTACAGTGTACTTATCAGAGGTGGCTTTCAGTATTTAAGATTTAGAGTTCTCTAATGATATTGAACAAGTTTTATGAATGTCATATTCTGAGCACTGTATGAAGGCGATTGTTCTCACTTGTTTATGAACTAGTGCATTATGTCCAGTTTGTACCTTTTTTATCTATGTTTATAGTCAAATTAGTTATCAAAGGTACCAGGATTATAATTTAATACACCAGACGCGTGTTTCGTCTACATAAGACTCATCAGTGACGTTCAGATCAAAATAGTAATAAAGCCAAACAAGTACAAAGTTGAAGAGCATTGAGGACCCAAAATTCCAAAAAGTTGTGCCAAATACGGCTAAGATAATCTATTCCTTGGATAAGAAAATCCTTAGTTTTTTCATTAGCAATCATAACACATCTCCTTATTTATATAATGATCTATATTCAACGACCTCAGGTACAAAAAAAATGTATGTAACTAAACTATGATGGGAAATCTTTGACTTCTTTCTTTTATATAAACTTTTGATTTGGTACCATAGAACTATGTAGAATAAATGTACATTGCAACATGTCAACTCTTTCAACTCCAAGCAAAATTATATTTCCAAGCATAAAGTAATTTATGAATGAAAAAATTCGTAAGGGTTCCGCGGAACCCAGTGTCTCGCCTACTTTTGCTGTTAATCGCAGGCTCAACAAAAATGAGGAAAAACATTAATAAAAATATTCCTATTTATACTATCTTTTGATTGTAAGTAGCTTCTGTCCAAGTTTGGTAAAAATCCAGGATAGTTTATGAATCTAATAAATGTTTTAAAAACTTAAACTGCAGACTGTATGTAATGTTAACTGGAAGAAAAACTAAGTCCATTTATAAGTAAAATGGAACAAAATTTTAACAAAATTTCCATATAGATACTAGCTTTTAATCATAAACAAGCTTCTGTCCAAGTTTGGTACAAATTCAGGATAGTTTAAGAAAGTTGTTAAAATTTTAAAAAATTTAACCACAGAGTGAATGTAATGTTAACTGGCAGAAAAACTAAGTCCATTTATAAGTAAAATACGGAAAAAATAAAATTTTTATTTTACAAAATTTACTTCTGGATACTATCTTATGATCATAAACAAGCTAATTTCCAAGTTTGGTACAAATCCAGGATAGTTTAAGAAAGTTATTAAAATTTCAAAAACTTTAACCACAGAGTGAATGTAATGTTTCCTGGCAGAAAAACTAAGTCCATTTATAAGTAAAATAAGGAAAAAATGGAATTTTTTTTTTACAAAATTTACTTCTGGATACTATCTTATGATCATAAACAAGCTCCTGTCCAAGTTTGGTACAAATCCAGGATAGTTTAAGAAAGTTATTAAAATTTCAAAAACTTTAACCACAGAGTGAATGTAATGTTTCCTGGCAGAAAAACTAAGTCCATTTATAAGTAAAATACGGAAAAAATGGAATTGTTTTTTTTACCAAATTTTTTTTGAATATTATCTTATGATCATAAACAAGCTTCTGTCCAAGTTTGGTAGAAATCCAGGATAGTTTAAGAAAGTTATTAAAATTTCAAAAACTTTAACCACAGAGTGAATATTTGTGGACGCCGCCGACGACGACGACGACGGAATGT